GTTTCTTTCTGACAAATGTGTGGTTAAAATGTGACTTTCCATCCTTCTGACTGTTCTCCCTGAGGGCTTCAGAATGCTCTTCACATCATAGAGAACACAGCCACTTGGATAACCACAAATCCTGGCTCCAGCTAGGTTCCCTGCTCTCCTTCTCCTAAAATGCACTGGAGAAAAGGGCGATGTGAAACTCTGATGGGGGAAGGAAAAGAGAGGAACACCCATGAAATTAAAGGAAAAAGTGTGACTAATGTTGTAGTGTTAGGTTTGACTAGCTAAACTCATAAAGTGATCTTTCCTCACTGACAGAAAGAAGTAGGAAAACTCTTTTTCTCTGTATTTACTCTCAGTTATCTAGTGGCAAGGGTTTCCTCTCCTGCATCTCCTGAACAATTTCAAAAGGAAATCACCTATTTGTTTTTCCCAGAGATGAAATTTTTAAGAGCTGTTATATAATGATATAGCTTTGTCATTAATATTGAACAAACAGATGGTGTCATCTGACAGAGCTCACAACACCACACAGTGGCAGCCAGCCTTACGTACTCCAAACAAATTACTGTGGAAGGCTAGGTAATTAAGAGAGACATGGAGTTTGTACCCTGAAAAATCTTTGTACTTCCAAGCCAACTAATTATGAATGCTTTTGCAGGCCTTTCTGTTATGTAAGTATTCTTATCTACAAAGAAAGAGATGAATTTTCAAAACTCCAATCTCTTAGATTCGCTGAATATAATTTTGATAGTCCTTGTTGTTTCTTTTTGTAAGATAGCTGAGCTCTGCTGCTTAGCTAACTAGGATGTGGAATGATAAGTGCAATTTGCTGGCAGAAATAAAGTCTGGTAAAGAAGCTTGGTGAGAAACAGACAAGAATGCCTGAAAAGGTAGACAATGATAGTGATAGAATCTAATTCAATACATGTGATCCCAGATGTAACGACTACACTGACTTTAAACACATGCATTGAGTGTTATCTATCTTCTGACCATTATGGGTAGCAGCCCATTGAAGCTTACCACCTGAATGCATAAATACCAGGAAGAGAGAAAATATTACAAATGAAAACAAGTTTCTTTTCAAGTTTAGGAAAGTTTCATCAAAAACTCTTATCCCCTTCTAACTCCATGTTCACAGCTGTACATGACCCACTGCTTTAATTGGCCCTTGAAAGCACATAATGGCAAGCAGGAAAGCACAGCATTGTTATTGTGAAAAATTAGTACTATGAGCAGAAGTAATTTATATGAAATATCACACTACTATACCAGTTTTTCCTGTGCTGTGTTCTTTTTTTTCTGTCATTTTGTAGAACGTGCTTTGGGTCTGTAATTCTCTTTGTGAATTTCCCCAAAATAACTGTTACTTGTTACTGTTATTGATTGTGTTTCAATTGTATTATTCTCAGTGAGTGCTTCTGAACTTTCAGATATAGGGGTACAATAACTTGAACATAGCTCCTTTTTTTGTTGTTAAAAATTACTATGAATCCCATGAAGTCAATGTCTAGAAAACACTTAATAACCATGTTTTCTTAGTTTACGGTTTAACATTCCTCTTCTCCTCCTCTGACACATATACAAAGAAGTTCATTATGCTCAATCCCCTGCAGCTAGTAAGTATTCTGCAGTGAAGAAAAACAAGCTTTGTTAAGGAGATTATGGCTCTGGTGTTTTAACAATCCAAAATGTTCACTGAGAATAAATCTTAATTGGATAAAACTTTATGTGCAAAATCTTTGCTCCCTGAAAATGGAAGCATATGTAACATAAAGGCTGTGAAAGAACAAGTTTTGAAAATATAACACAAACATGACTTCTGAATTGCCTATATGAAACTCTGCAACAAATTTCTATCAGAACAGGAATGATTCCTAAACTGTTGACAAACACTAATAAATCTAGGGATACATTTCATTTCTAGTAAGGAAATTTTTTTCACTACTAGTCATACAAAGGTTCATACTCCATCCCCGTGACTGCACTGAACTCATGTATCAAGAATACTCACTTATGTAGAGATTAAGCAGCAGAGGCTCCTCCACGCTCACTACTCTAGGGGAGTCAGGGTCTGGTTTGTAAGGGTACTCACTGGAGCCAGTGGATGGGGCGGGGAGAAGCAAAACGAAGAATCTCAGGTTTTAGCAAGGGAGTATTTCTGGCCCTCTTTCCCTCCAGCACTAATGCAGAAATGCTAGATGACTAGTGAAAACCAACCACTGAGACTTTAAGGGAAGGGATCCTAACAAAGCTGCTCTGCTAGATGCCCATCTGAGCATTATGCTCAGGTTCCTCAGGAATTTTCTGAGCACAAGTTATGGCAAGGAATTTTTTTTACACAGAAAATATGTCCATGTGTTTTGAGCTAGGAAATAGACTAGAAAATGAAGAGTCAGACAAATGAAAAAAAAAAAAAAAAAGGAAAATAGTGAAATGGTTAAAGAAAATTTTGAAGTTTGGGGTTTTTTGGTTCTTGTCTTTTCAAAGATTAAAGATACTTTTGAAAATATTAGCTTGAAAATGATTTTGGACTAATCATAGTTTACAGTAAGATCCTACCTCTCTTTATGTTCACAGATATGGACTTCAATGACCATTCAGGAAACAAAGCTCCAAGTAAGATGATTGCAGGAGTTTATTTTGACCAACACATTATGAACGTTTTAATCAATAGCTATGGCCTCATATAAACTCCTGTCTCCTTACCTTAAAGACGAGGTCTGGCTTCTCATTTCTGCTCAAAGCATATTTGCATCGTTTCCATTGCTTCCTTCATTTTCTAAATGTGAAAGCCAGTCATGCAAATTGTTATGGTATCAATTCTATACAACTTTTCCTCTAGTTACTCCATTCCACACAGGATGATAGCTATTAAATCAAACCCTATTTACTAGTCATTACATTATATCATTATTTTCCAAATAATGTCATAGACTTCTGATTACTCCATTCTGTACTGCAGAGGGATATCTCAATTTCAGCAGGAGTGCTGGTGATTGTAGGAGGCAAAACAACAAGCCAGTTCCCAAATAAAATCTTAAAATCTCTTTCCTTCCCTTCTAGTTCACTGTAGTGCCTTGCAGGGACATTGCACACTTCTTAGACATTTCATTACATGTTCAAAGTTTCTTCAGGAGACAAAATCACGAGTTTATACTTCCCATCCATTGATCTTGGTGATGTTTTCTACTTAACAGTGTTTATGCCCAATTTCTCTTTGTTTGGGCAGATTATTTAAAAACTAGGTTTACATGTTTATTGGTGTCCCAACAAAGCAATGTTGTGCCATCATTTATATTGGGAAAAATAATAGTTTGCATTTAAAAGATAACTCAGTGAGTAACCCTTGTCTTAGATGTTTTCAAGGCAGAAGTGAAATAACACTACTATTACTTAAAAAAGTGAATGGTATATACAATCATGTGGCTTAAATTTTGATGGTGTATTGTCCTTTGCTGCTAATGTTCATGTCACTTTGGGGAAACATTCCTCTGTCTATAATGCAAAAAGATATTACTTCCTATTAAAATCCTCCAACTCATTTCATAAGGAAAGCTGTAGATAAATCAAAACCAAATCCTGAATAGTGTGTATCCAGCAAAAGTTAAAAAACAGTTTTTGTCATCTGCCAAAAAAAGTTCCAGAATTACAGAAAATATTTCATCTTGTTAGCCTCGATTACACTACATGTTTCTTCAAGGCAGACATTTCTGTAACCTGCAATTCAAGTGATTTTAAAACATTTTCCAACTATTAGAAAACTTTTTGTACATTAGGTCAGGATTTCTCAGTCTCAAATTCTTTAAGGACAGACACAATAGGAAGGCTGGAGAGAGACCGCCAGTAACTGAAGAATCTCTGTTTATTTTGGGATTCAGTTATGAAGTTAAAGTAATATCTCCTATATGCTGAAGTTTGCACTGAGCTCATTGGAGAAAAAAATAAAGGAATTTGTGACTTGTCATTTCATGAAATTGGCATAAATGTATCTAAAATACTGATAGCAAAGTAGCATTTGTTGGTACAATGTAGTTTTCAAATTCCTTGGATATTCTTTTGGATTTAGCAATCAAAATTATTTTTATTCAGGCACATTTCTCAACTAAAAGTTGACTTTCCAGGAATTGTATTACCAAAGAGCTGAAATTTGACAGAGAAGCTGTGAGTTCTTTTTATGAGGAAAATCGAGCTCCAAGGGATAACCATGTATAACCAAAGTAGCTCTGGTGATGTGATGTGGCCTCGTCACAGAATAGTAGAATCACAGAATCACTGAGGTTAGAAAGACCTCTAAGACCATCTAGTCCAACTGTGAGCCCATGACACCATGCCCACTGATCGCGTCCCTCAGAGCTGCATCCACACGGTTCTTCATCACCTCCACGGACAGTGACTGCACCACCTCTCGGGGCAGCCTGTGCCCCTGCCTCACCACACTCCAGAAGAAATTGTTCCTAATATCCAACCTATTCAAGTCTCCTACTTTCAATTCTTTCTCTCAAATTTCTTAAAACTTGCTTTATTGCACAAAACGAAGAATGTCTTTCTTTTGCCATTGCTGGCTGCAAATCCCATTGAATACTACCGCCGAGGCTAAATTTGAAGCTGAAGCTAACCGTACACGTAACATTTCAGATCAAAACAAGTTGAACTGCAGGAAATAAATCCCAAACGCCACCCGGACACTTGTAATTGAATTTTGCAGAGTGCAGGCAAGCTGCCCTGAGAAGAACTGAGGGAACACAGCACGGTAAACACAAAGCTTTGTTCGTTATTTTTAGAACCGTATATCTTGAGTTGGAAAGGAGCCACAGCGACCACGGAACCCAACTCCGGGTTCCTCGGCGGACCACCCACAGCCTCCCGCTCTCCCTCGGCACGTCCGAACAGCAGACTGCGCTTCGCCGCTCTACGCATGCGCGCCACGCGCCCCGACCGTTGGGGGTCGGAGCTATACGCATGCGCGGCCTTGCGGGGCGGGGTTGGCGCCTGCGCGCCTGCGCAGTGGGGCGGGGCGGAGGGGGCGGAGGGCTCCCTCCGCTCGCCCCTCCCGCCGGGCCGAGCCTGGCCGGGCAGGGCAGGGCCGCGCAGCGCTACGGGCTCCGCCGGGCCGCTCGTTCCTTGGCATGAGCGCGGGTGGCTGCGCCGCCGCCGCCGCCTCAGCGCGTTAGCGTTGCGCCATGCGGCTGTGCGGGGCGCTGCTGAAGAGCCCCATCCCCAAGCAGATCGAGTACTACTCGCGCTTCTCCCCCTCGCCGCTCTCCATCAAGCAGTTCCTCGACTTCGGTGAGTGGCTCGGCGGGCCCGCGGCGGGCGGGGCGAGCGGGCCGGGGTCGCTTGAGGGCTCGCCCCCTCCCCCCCCTCCCACGCCCGGAGCGAGGCCTGGGCCCCGCGTCCCGTGGAGGCCTCGGGGTGCTCCGTCACGGCGCGGGGCGGGAGGCGCTGCGGGGCTCAGCCGCGGAGCGGGGGAAGGGGTCGGGGGGAGCGCTTCTCACGCGGGACGGGGATCCGGCGCTGAGCTTGGGTGTGGGAATCGTATTCCCTGTGTGCGGTGATTGGCTTAGGCACGGCTGAAGCACGAGCGTTGACAGCCGTCGTGTAGGAGAGCTGCTGGTGGGAAGTTCGTGCTTTAGGAAGAGCTGCTGGTGAACAGGTAGCGTTGCTCTGTTGAGTGGAGACCCGGGCGTGCCTTGTGTTGTTGGGGAGCTGGTTCTGATCTAGGTAACAATGCACTTCTCCTATCTGGGCCAGAGGTTATTGGCTCACTCTAATGACACGAGCGCTGTTTACATTTTATTGTACTATAAATGCTGCAGCTGAAGTAAATAGAAAGGTCATGCGTAACACCACGAGGCTTAATATAGTGCTCCTTCATTCCAGCGTTATATTAAAGATACAAGGAGGCAGGAAGGAGGTGTTAAGCCTGAAAGCAATTAAAAGTGGAAACGGTGGCACATTTATGGCAGTGGCATTAGTAAAAAAGGGCTGAAACTACAAAGAGCCAGCAGTGGGGGTGTTCTTGCTGCCATGTCTCTGCACGCAGGGTGTTCTGCCATTAAAACAAGGCCCAACACCCCACCTTGTCCTGGGTCACATTAAGATGATAACCTGACTATAGAGCCTGTGCTTTCCTCCTCACGAGTCTGACTTTGCATCCCCACGTGTGCCTTTGCTGCTGTGCTTGCCATGCCTAGCATTTGTGCTCCTCACACAGTGTCTTTCTGCACTGGCACAAACAAAGCCCTGAAACTTAAGAGTATCACTATTTTAGACCTGACATAAATAATTTATTTCACCACGATCTGAGTGAATGTTCAATTTATAGATTGTTGCTGAGGAAGCATTAATATTTGTGAGGTGTTTGAGTTGTGACTAGAGGGCTGTAGAGGTGTCAGTTTTTATCCTAATGACTTGTGTGTTCTGGGAAAACTTAACTTCGTGGTGAGGATTTCCACCATTTGAAGTTGTCTCTGCAGGATTGTTCAACACCATTTGTGTGGCAGCTTTTTCTTAATGCTCTTTATTTTTTTTTTAACCATGTAGTTTCTCTGTCACTTTGAGGTTTGAAAACTGTCTCTGGATTCTCTAGGTGGAGGTAGTCCTGTTTCTTCATTCTAAGTCTGATTTCTGTTAGCTGAAGTGCACAAAACAGGAGGGGCCAGTGAGAGCCTGGCCAGTGCTGTTCCCTGGATGTGGTCCCAGCTGCCGTCCCTGGATGTGCCTGTGGAACACTGTGTGTGATTACACTATGTTTTAGTGTAGTCATATATTACAACTGACAGGAAGCTATATGATCTGTCATTTAAAACCTCTGAAGAAGAAAAAAAAATACAACTACGGTTTAGGCTCCTATAATCACCGTGGGATGTTTTCACGAGTTCATAAGATTAGAAACTGATATTGTGTCTTGCTAAAACTGTCAGCTTGATCTTAATAAGCCTTGCAGCCTGCTTACATCTCCATTAACTTTCTCTGTGGCACGTGTGTTTACTGAGGAAACTTGAGTAGGAAGATAAGAGCAGTCTAATCCGATAGGTCAAAAGCAGTGCAGTTGCTTAACCTGTCCAGCCCTGGGCGTAGGTGGCTTTGAATAACTCCAGGTTCCAACCAAGACCTCAGAGACTTTGAGGAGAAATTTCCAACAAATGCCCTGATGGCAGATGTAGGGGCAGCAATTGTGACATGCTAGGTATGGAAGGCTTGGTCACTTGGCACTCTGATATATAGTGCTGCATCAGGAGATACAGTCCTGCTGCCTGAATTATCTGAGAGTTCACTGATGGCACTGGACACAGGTGCTCAAGTGAGCAAATATGCCAGGCACAGTGAGATAGCAAAGGTGCAGCTCAATTATGTTTACCTAGTCTGATTGCTTGATGGAAAGAAGAAATTCTGGTTTTAGGTAACTTCTATGAGCTGGCTGATCTTGCATTTAGAAAAACAACATATATATTTTGCTAAGCTATGTAAATGTAGTGCTTGTGTTACAAAAACATGAACAAACTTCTAACAGGTTTTGAAGAAGAGTAAGCCCTGAGGAAACTTGTGAAGGGCAGTCTGGGATCTTGTTGTCTGATGTATGTTTCTTGTAAAAAGTAATTTGTATTTGCTGTACTGCATATTTATTTTTGGAAGATTTTATTTTTAATTTCTGTCAATGCAAAACTGCAACATGGTCTTTATGCTCTTGATTATGTATTGATTGTGTTGGTTTGATTTTTCTCTTTGCAAAATTCTGGTGAGTAAGGGGAGAGAAGTGTTACATTTCTTGACGACCAAAGAGTCTGTTCAAAAACAGTTGATAGCAATGTTCATTAATGTTCAGTTTAGCAGCTTTTTTCTTGTTGGGTCAGACAAAGCATGGGTTGTATGGAATACAGATGTGTGTGTAACGGCAGTCTCCATTCCTTTCCAATGATAGAAATTCGTGATGCTATTTATTTTAAAAGTTGCTCAGGTAGCTTAATTAATTTAAACTTCTATGAAAGACAGTTTAACTACTTAGGGCTTCATTATCAATAAGCTATTATGAAGCTAATCAGAAAACAATACTTGAAGCAGTATCTCCACCCCTGTATGTGATGCACTTTCTGTCAAGCTTGCAGCTATCTTCATAGTTGCCACAACTGTGTGAGGGGTTACAGTGTCATCACAGACTTGGGACCGACCTCTATGTCACAATCGGAGAGCACAGACTGTGCTGCTTTTCTTTTTCTTTCCTGTGTTCATTTTCTCTTTTGGAGACTCTTCTTGAATATTGTTCATTTAGTTTTGTTGTTGCAAATTGCATTTCCTGAGATTCTTGTGCAATTTGAGTCCTTTGCAAAGGAACAACTTTAGACCTTGATTAATATTAATATGTCATTCTAGGCATATAGAGATACCTATTATTCTCATGTGATACTCCCCTCCCTTCCCCTCAGACCCTGCCAAAAGGGGAAAAAAAAGCCAAACCCATAAAAAACCCAAGAACACGTGGGTTTAGATGTGTGCTTTTAAGCTTGACAGTTAATCTGGATGTGATTTTGGTGGATTTCCAAGTGTGCACATTCCTAAATGGTCCGGTCTGCTGTAATCGCTAAAATAGCTTTTCTGAAATAAACTTTTAAGCAGAGGTGTATGTTAATAACATTCAGATAAATGGATCTTAGTATACTTGTAGGGCAAAACTGTCAGGAGTGGGGAGGAATACTAGTATCGGAGTTATGTGTTTGATAAATCCTCCTAATTTAGATTTGCCTCAGCTGTGTAAAGCATGCCATGAAGGACTACAGGTAATCTGAAATAGCCAGCAGTCCTCATCAGCTTCTTATGTGGATAGCTGGTGAGTCAAGTATGTCTGGGGAAGAAGGTAAGTAACCAGCTGGCTGTGTCTGTTGGGGAAGGTAACGTTTCTATGTCTAGCAGTGTCCTAGCACTTAAAGAAGGGCACAGAAAGACATGAGCTTACTCTGCCTGGCTGATCAGGGCTGGCTTCAAGCCAAGAACGTTACAGCCTATCTAGTACAGAGCTGTGCCTGAGCTCACACGTTCCATGCAGCTGCACAGTTCGGGTCGTGTTGTTGACAGTAAACAGCTGATGGTAAAGATACTGATAGAATGTTTTGTGAAAAGAGTGATTGTACTGAAAAGGCTGCTTATAAAATAATTGAGCCCAAATAAAGATACAGGTGATACAATTTGTTCAGTTCTTTGATTATGGATGGAGGAGTCACTTTAAGTTTTTTAACTAGTATTTTGTGAATGTATGGTGGTGAACTATACTGGTGTAATGCTCTGATTACTGCTGCTCTGGTAATGAAGTACCTGAGACTTGTGAGGGACTGAGGTTTGATGCATGCTGTGTGCTTGTGGAGCTTGTTTAATACCAAAGCTGTCTTGGCCAGATGGACTTCTTTTTTTTTTTCCTGCAAGTCTCAAACCAACTGTTTTGGATGAATTCTGTAGTTGAGGTTACACATGTAGCTGTTTATATGTATGGTAAAACTTAACAAAAGGGCACCCATTCCCTCTTACTTGTCAGATGTTAAATACCACGTAGTTTCTAGTATGGGCAAAATGAAAAACATATACTTAGAGGAGAGGACAGTAAATCATGGGCTGAGTGAGTCCTTGTTATGGAACATGGCTTGGGAGGCTGTGATTTTGTAGGTTATAATCAAAATGTCTGTGGCAGCTGCTGCAAAAACTGGCACTGAAGCATATCACGAGGACGGTGATGTAGCAGTCGTACCACAAACATCTACAGTGTGCTGCAGTGAGTGCTTGTAGCTGGGGCATGTCTGGAGGTAAAGAGGAACAAATATACAACAGAACCTCCTCGTTTTTAAATCTCACATTTGTTATGAAATCAATTACTTGGCCTGTGTCGAGGAAGCTGATAGGCCTGTTCTGAAAGTGATAGAAAGAGTAGTCTCTTTCTGTTGTCAGTTGTTGTGTGTGCAGTGCTGGGTCAGATTCCTGTAAGTGCTCACACTTTCTGTTGCTGCGTTGGTGGCAGGAGGGCTGTCAGCACCGAAACTGGAAACGTGCTTAGAAACAAGGAAACTGGGAAGGCAGCGAGCAGAGAGATACAAACAACGAGATGTGGGGGTTGGAAGTAGAGGCTGAAAAAAGCTGTGTGGCTTTGAACTTAACTGTTGATCTTCTGATAGGAGAGTGACCAATACAGGGTTAGTCTACAGAAAGAAACAACGTGTTTTTTTTTTTTTAAACACAGCTTTAGTGGAGAGGTTGTGTACCTGAGACTTTCACAAAGTTTAGTGCTAGAAGGAACTATTAAATAA